TTTAAAATAGTATTTGCTACAAGCAGTGTATATGGCACATACTTTCACCAAAAATGTGTTGGTTTTTTTTTTTCCCTTTCCTAAAGAAAATAAGGTCAGTTACCACCATTTTTGTGAAATCACTATTAGACTGTCAGGTACCAAAAAGAAACAGAAATGCTGGAATTTATGCCCTCACCTTTGTGCATTTTAGCAGAGTGAGGAAGTTTCCATATACACAATTGATTAAGTTTGGTAAAGATCAGTCTGGAGTAGAGCAAAGTGATTTGCAAATTCTGACCAATGCAAGAGACTGTCAGGGCTCTTATTCCATTATTCCTTCATCCTTCTCACACAAAAGTCATTCAGGCAAATATCTGATGCCTCATTGGCATGGTTTCAAATGATTCAGGTGCTGTAAAGGAATACAAGGGCTACTGTTTCTATTTCCCTGAGGCTCATGCCAACAGTTTTCCTCTGTTTGGCAGAGGGTTACTACCAGAGAAAATTGCTCAGTGGTTGCAACTTCTATCATTTTAATAGTTACATATATTCCAGGCTCCTAATGCTGTTTTTTCAGTTCACAAGCTGAACAAAGCATTTTCAGAACAAAGCCGTGGTTGCTGAGGTCCTTATTTTAGGCATTCCTCCTTTTTAGTGCTTTACTCCTAACCTGTATGCAGTGTTGAAACCTTCTCACTAGCCCATCTCCACTCTTGTGTAGCTGACTGATGTGAGACATTCAGAAGATGGCCCACTAGGGCCAAGTGAGGAATTGAGAAAAGTGGAGGGAAGGAAGATATGAAGATATTTAATGCTAAAGAGAAAGACAAGGATGTAGTCCTTCTGCAGTGAAGGTGCAAGAGAGCCCAGCAGCTGAACAAGTACTTTCAACTTGACCGAAGTTGACGAAGCCTCATTTTTTCATGAGTTTATGAGTCATGATTGAGGGAGTAGTACCAGAGTCTGAAAAGAAAATACGGTAGTTAAACTTCCTTGGCCTTTTAGATTCTCTACATTCTTCCTGAAAAAATGGAATGGAATGAGACACTCATTTACAAACCATATTAATCTCTCCTATTATTAGGGTTTGACTACTCTGTAGTTTCTGTCTTACTAGAAGAAACAGGTTGGCTGCACCATGGAAGACAGGAGTCACTTACGTTGATTTCTTTCATGCAGGCAGTAAAATCTGTGAGATTATCAGTGTCCGCTATGCTTGACCCAAATTATAACATTACACAGCACAAATTACTCTGTAGAAGCTGACTAGATAGCTTGAAAAATAATTGATTTTTTTTCAGTGCATCACACTATCAAATCATAGTTTAATATTTCTTATCCCCATTCCTCTTGCACAAAATGTATAGTAATTGCACTTCATAGTACATTGTCTGGTTTGTCCAGATTAAAGCAGTGGTTCATCCTCCGCTGTCCAAGGTTATGCTTACAACTCTCCTTAACAGATTTTCCCCAGATATCTTCTTCTCTGCTTGGGAGAATAATTAATTGCCACTTCATACTGCTAAAGATCCACTGCAGTGTTTTTCTCCATTCTGGATAGTTGTTCCCATGTTTTATTGCTTGCTTTCAGGAGTACCTTCTTATAACAAACCAGGACTTAGTCATGGTTAGTGAGTGGCTTGAAGAAACATTACATTTTCTGTAGAATCAAAGTACTGTGCAGTGTTACTCAACTTTCCACTTAGTTATTGATCCCAAGTTTAAAGATGAATGAAGGGAAATGTACGTCAGAATCACATTTTGCTGCCACCGTATATACCTGCAACTTGCAGTGTGATAAAAAGCAGCCAAATGTTTAAGCCATTGTAGAGGCCACTTTGTTCAAGGTTCATTCATTTTTTCCTATCTTTTATTGGTGGCCTTCATCTTACGTCTCTGCATTGCTTCTTTATCAACGGTTGCAACCGGGCTTTACTACGAGTCATGGGCTAATAGAGCTGAGGCAGTAAAATCTGCAGGAAGAAATGTCACAGTAAGAACCAGGTCCCCCTCGGAGGACACAACCCCAGCTGCTGACAGTGCCAGTATCTGAAATTCTCTGGGTGACTGGGTTCATCGTCATTATCTCTAATGAGTATACAAAAAAAGGCAATAAAAAAAAAAGGAACAGATTTCCCCCACACTCCCCTGCCTTATTTCATCAATGGCTTAATTACAGCCTCATTATATTGAGGAGACATCACATATCCTATCTAGGATCTTTACACTAAAAAAAAAACAAAAAAAAAAACAACAAATTTTAAGACATAATCCACATTCTTTTTACTTTACTATCAACCATTATATGCATGCCAAGGACAGCTTTCAGAATAATGCCATCCATCCAGCGAATGAGTTTGTTTTCACTGCTTTTAATTTTGATCTTTGAACTCCCAGATGCTTTTTTATCTTCAGGCTGCTGGCACAAATATAACAATTTGGAAATGACATATTGGCTGACAGTCACTCAAGAAGGTTTTTACCTTTTCAGTCAGGTTTAGTTCCTGCTTCAGTAAAGATCATTTCACACAACATGAACAGAAGCATTCCTGCCTACTCAGGAAGATGTTGGACCACCAGAAGCTGACTTTATAAAATCCTCACGAGCAAGCCAAGGGCCTTGTCCCATCCGTGGTACCGCACTGAGCTTTTGTTCTGGAACAAAGGATTTCTGTTTGGTTCAGTGAAGTGGAGACTGATGTCTTCTTCATCATTGTTCAGGTTTCACACAAAGAGTCTATTCTGCATGAATGGCTGGAGCAAGCAGAAAAGGGTCAAAAATTGTCCCTGCAGCATGTTTCTGCTCAAGCATTGTAACCATGATAGGAAGCAGCAAGTGCTGCAGAAAATTTAGGACAGAAGAAAATGGCTAAGTTGTGTCAAAAGTATTCAGAGTCTAGGAATCTGCCAGCTTTGGTTTGTTCAAGCTTTCTTAAGGCGTCGCTATGCCTGGTAAATCATTCTGCATTCTGTAAAAACTACAGCAGGATTCAACAGGCCAATACAATGACTATCTTAAATGCTGCAGTGACCCAACCCTGCCTGAAAAATACTACCCAGGTATTTTCAGCAGCAGTTGGTGGGGAGGTACATGTGCCATCATCTTAATGCTGTCAGAGGATCAGGGTATTGTGCAGCTGCTGGACCTAGCTTTATTTCTGAAGAACGATGTGCTTCATCACTCTGAATTATAAGAAAAGTTGGGGGAGGCAGGGGAAGACTTAAATCTGCAGAAATCAATTATTTCCAGGGTTAGATGTGAAGTTACAGTTTTCCTGCAGGCAGGGTCTGGTTTCTTGTGCTCCCCCTGCTGCTTGGCAAATTTTATGACAGCTGATTTCTGCTTTACAACACCCTTCACAGAAAACAAAGTTCACAGAAAACTATACTGACCTGCAGGTACCTGAGGGGTAATTGCTATAAGGGAATGTCTTTGTGATTCAAGTCATTACCATTCTGATAAACAGCTTTCAGATATGTCTGTGGTCTGACATTTTTGCTGCACACAGATCTAAGGCTTTTTGCTTCATAGGATCACGGGATTAGTCATGTTGGAAAGCCCTCAGGAGTTCATCCGGCCCAGCCTCTGGCTCAAAGCAGGTCAGCTGTGAGGTCAGGGCAGATCTTCCTTCGAGCTTTACCCAATCAGGGCTTGAAAACTATACTGAAGAAAAGGACCAACCCTCCAGTCCACTTCAGAATTAAAAGACAAGCGAGCATATCACCATGTTATATCCCAACAGCTTGTTGTATAAGGAGAAGCTTAATCACCTCCCTTTGGACTGATCACACTTTCTTTTTCCTAAACAGGCATCAGGAGAACCCCTCGAAACTGCAGGGGCTGGGTGAAAACTGCTTTCTAACATGATGTGCAGCCCACATGGGATAGGATTCTGCAGGCCTGTTCTGTTAGGAGCCCAGGTTTGGTATGCAACAAGCTTCCATAGCAAGCCAGTGACGTTGGCCTCTGATCTTGTACCATGCACAGAAATTTCTGCACAACTTCCAAAGAATTTGACTGATAGCTTGTAGCTGTATGCTTGAAAAACAAGCCTGTAAAGACAGGAGGCTTTTACCACTTCATTATTTTCATCTTAAACTCATTCATGATTTCCTGTCAACAGGGAATAATGTCTTTATGATGAAATATATATATATATTTTTGACCACAGTAAAACATGAAAACCTTTATAAACCTTTATTTGTAAATTGATAAGTGGTTGGGTTTCTTTTTTCTTTATAAGAATCCCATTGAATATTTTTCATGTTCAACTACTTGAGAAACTGCATGGTAGAATGAGTGCTTCAGGAGGTATTAGGAAATTGTGTTCTGTTGCATAGCTACATTCAACATGAAAACACATTCCAACTAGAGCTTGGAAGATGGGTGTAACTAATTTACAGTAACTATTGCCATTGCTTCAGTACTAGTAGTTAATTATTTTTTTTACTGTCCATGATAAACATACAGAAGAAGAGTGCTATTTTCTGTAATGTTAAGATGCTAGAGTTAATTTTTGAAACAAGTCCTGGTACACAGACATTTAGGGGACTAAAGTTTCAAGGTCAGTGAAGGTATAGATTTATAATGGCCAGAAGAACAGCACTAAGCTCAAAATTGGGTGGTGTTTTTTTTTTACCCCCCAAAATCTTGCAAATTAAATGTTGATCAGAGGAGTCAACTCCAGTTTATCCACGCAGATTCGAGTTGGAACAGGACATTCTTTTGACTGCAAACATATCTACAAGAACAGCTCATCCCTTAAGAGTGATACAGGCTCTTTAATGAGATACAATTATAGAAGCTCTGTTTGTATGAGAAAGGCAGAGGCCATGGAGATGTTTAGTAGTTCAGGAGATCGGACTATGTAAGACTCTGGGTACCTTTTAGATCTGTTTATAGCACACTTCAAAAGTCAAAAAACATGTGGCATTCTTCCATATTAATAAAATTGATAAATTTAACTAATATTGTTCCAAAAAAAATTAAAGATACAATTCAAAGCTGAAATGCATAATAAGTTGTAAAGTACATTTATTCAGCCCTCACTGGGTGTCTCGTACCATAAGAGGTCACAAGAGGTCATGAACAAGGTTTGAGTTAAATTCCTTAAGATGCAATCTTCAAAATATACATAGAACAATATTTGGACAGTTAAACACCTTCCTCAGACAGCCCCACTTCTGCAAACATATCAAGTTCAAGAAGTGATAGGGATAACATATTTAACCGGGGATGGAATAGTTAACCCGCAAAACATACTTCCGTGATGAAACACAATTCATTTTTCTGCTTCAAAACAACACTGAGCAGATGTTTCCTTTCTCATTCCAGGCTGGTGTATATATAATCCATTTTTTAAAAAAATACTTATTTTAGGTTTCATAGCCTCTTTCTGAGAAAGAGTCTTATCATGTCTGTGTCATCAAGCGTTGTTTTTTCCAACTAAAGGTTGCACTGAAGCCTAGCTGTACTATACTGTTCATAGCTCACTAGAATACTCTTATCCTTATATTTATCAGTGAATGTCCCAAAAGACACACAGCTCTCCACAAACGCCTAAAAGCAAATTAATCTAGCAGCCTGCAGATTACTACACACATGGCAATAGCATGTATTAACATAACATATTATCATGCATTATGCAGTGGGTCTCTGAGGTTTAGTAGTCCCTGTCAGCAACAGGAATGAACGGAAATAGCTTCCAGGAGACATAAGACCTCTGAAAAGGCCAAATGCTGGTAGCTCTTGAAAACAAGAGAACTTGTGCACGCAGCATCTGACAGAGTATCATAAACAGTCTTTTGTCAGTCATTTATGCAAGTCAAATACATGTAGCATGCTTAAGAAGAGGTTAAAGGTAAGTTTGGGCACTAGCAGCATCGTACTCCCCCTGCTGCAATAAAAATTCCATGCATTCTGTCAGGCTTGTTGACAGCAGAAATTTTGATGTGCCACGATGTATCATCTTCCAGTACGCCTGGACAGTGATTTTGCTAGCTGAGAAGAGCAAGGTTCCACATGGAAGTAAGCACAGGTACCTAACGAGAGGGTCCAAGTCATTACTGAAAGGGCTTGATTTTTGTTTTGCTTGTCCTTTTTTTTTTTTTTAAAAAATGCACAATTAAATTGAAAAAAAAAAAAAAACAAACACCAATATTAGGTATTTTGTATACACAACATAATGCTGCATGGGATAAAGGTACATCACTGCTGTCAAATGTACTTCTGGAAATACCGTGCCTAAGTAAGGAATACCTAAAGCTGTAGCTGCCAGCAGCTCAGACCATACTTTGGGGGACGGACATCTCCTACATGTATTCTGCTCTTTCCCCACTCTCTGTGCCCTTTCCTCAGGCAATCCCCAGCAACATTTAGCCCGGAGGACAACACTAATCTAGCTGGAGCTTTGATCTCATCTAGAACAGCTGTACTGACTCTCAGGCAGCTCTAAGTTGACATTTTTAATCAAGTCTTTCAAATTTCACCGCCCTAGACCAGTTAAAGACACATTACCCAATAGCACAACCATTCAGATTGGTTGAAGTGATTAAAACATTTTCCGAAATTTTCAGACTAATGTTCATACAGAGATAATACCATAATAAATGCTACCACATGTACTCAGACCTGCATATTCTTTAGTGTTCTGTGCTCCTGCCTGTATCTCTTTCCTATACTTTTGAAGTGTTTGTCACTTCTTAGTTGAAGGTCCATTTAAATGATAAAAAGCTTTAATATCATCCTTTGCTCATACCATAAGAGAAAAAAAAAAAACAAACAAATGAAGTCATTTCCATTGCTAGAATTCCACAAGAAAAATCCTTACTTGCAAAGCATTAAGATGTTCAGCTGGTAAGTTCCTAAGTACGACATTCATTACTGTACACAGGCATTGTAGTCAACTGCCGTCACAGCCTGAAGCTGCAGGGTGTAAATATGCACGTTGCTAGTCTGTGCCAAAGCTCTTAATGTTTCATCTTCGCCTCTTGATTAGATTAAATTAAGCTATAAATGTAACCTTACCCAAGCCTGTTTATTCTATTTTTAACTTTGCAGACATACACAGAGAGGCATAAGGGGGGGGTGGGGGGAAGGAGTTAACCGGAATGCTTACCTAAGAGAAGGATGGGAGAAATACAGGTTGTAAATCTGTTCCCTAAAGCATTTCCTGATCTGAGCCCCAAGGAGTTGTAACTGCTTCCTCCAGTAGATCCCATCCCCAGATGGATGGACCACGCTGTTTCACTGACTACTTGCATCATTTATTATATGTCTCTTCTCCGCTTTGCTTTCTGAGAATTATTTACTCTTTACCAACATAATCACAACTCTCAGCATCACAAAAAGCTATGACTCCATCCTACTTTAACATATCTTGTCTGTAGGCAAATCAGTAGACAAAATACCTTGCCTACTCTGTATGTAGAGTGTTACTGTTTACCTGAAGCAGGGTTTAATTTCTTGCACTACATTTTGAATGTCTTTGATATAATACAGAAACTTCCCAGACTTCAAGTGTTCTAGAAAAAAAATTGCAGAGGTTTTCCATAATACACAGCATTAATTTATTTTCTTGAAGCTTAGTTCACTGTTGGTAATGAGGAAATCATCTGCTCATAAGATGACATAGAGGAATCTCTTAGCAAAGTGAAATTAGCCATCAACATTAAAAACAAACAAAAAAAATAGAAGCATGCTGAGAAATAGATAGGCTGCCCTCCTGCTACCTTAGCTCACCTCCTGAAACTGCTTGTTCATGAGGGTAGCAACCACTATGATCCTTACCCACCAACTGCTGTGTTAGAAGTGCTCTTTGAGGCCATTTACCAGCACTGGCTCTGCTGATGGGGGTGGGACTGTAGTTTGCAACAGCTGAGGAGGGATGCCTGCATACCAGCTGGGTGTAAGTCATTACCCCTGATTGGCAAACTGGCATTCCTTCTGTCTGAGTTGGCTGCAGACTGAGTCTGTTCCTGCAGGGGCCAGAAACAAGCTTTAACTTCAAAGAAAACAGGATGGAGAGTAATGCTTTTGGTCACTTGTTTGCTGGCCTAACCACACATGCTGTTTCAAATACCTGTTCAAAGAAGGAAGGACTGCTGTATTTGCTGTTTGCTAGCAGTGAACAAACTTAGCTATTTAGCATAAATGTATGGAGTCTTGCAGTGGGGGTCACCACACTGCTTGGTAGGTTGCTAGTGGTGCATAGGGTAGTACAAGCAGCATAAAGGTCTTCGTTTTCATGAAAACAGCAAATTGCAGTTGAAGAGTGGACGTATTTATTTATTTATTTTCTTTTTTAATTGGACTTTGTAAATAGATTTGACGAAATATTCCCTCTATGGTAGCTTGTGTAAATAACTGCAATCTGCCTAATGATGTCTGTGGCAGTGAAAGAATTTGCTCTGCCCTATACAGTTACTTTTTAATAATTGGATCCTCAACCATACAACCTTCTCTGCTCTAGAGTGTCCCCTGCACTTCAGTTGTGCCCCTATACCAGTAGTTTGGCAGGGGGAGAGAAATGCTGACTGAAGAAAAAAAAATTTGCTCAGCTCATTTGCCTTCTACTCTTACCTTCTTCCACATACTGTTCTCTGGCTAGGCGAGGGAAGTACACTGCAAGATAGCTTCAAAGTAATAAAGTAAAATGAGAATAAGAATTGTTTCTTACCCTAAGAAACAGGGAAGAAAGCTAAATACTGTTTTGGCAGGAACATGAAGTGTTTTGTTCACTGCATTGGCTGGCAGATTGGGAGACCTCCCACAGGTTGCTCCGTGACAGACCTTGAGAAACTTCTGTGGCCTGGATACTTTTAGGCTAAATAGAGAGGACAATCTCTGGCATACGACCAAAGAACAGGAGTGAAATACCAGCTGTCGTGGAGGTGGTAGGATTTCAAAGACCAGCTTTAAAAGCCATCTGAACGTGTATGGTTGTAACACCTGGACAGTAAGAAAAGAGCTAGATAGTATGATATTAGTTTATAGGATTAAAAATAAGAGTGCTGATGTGCGTAATTTACCTGGCACACTGGCTTATAATGTGACAGAGGAATAATAGAGCATTTATCAGTCTGAGTTTTGCCCTCTTCACTCAACTTGCTTCATTAACATCTGTTTTACTGGGAAAATAACAGGAATAAATCGCTTTTTAATTGGCAAAACACATTAAATATCAAAGAGTAGGGATTTATACTTGAACTCTGGCACCCCTTCTTACAGAAGAAAGTCCTGCAAGGGCTGTTGGTACTGGTCTTTGGTGAGGGCCTCAAACCAAAGCTGAAACCACCAGCTGCCAAGAGGTCCCTCAGTCCTGGACTGAAGCACTGGACCTAGGATTGACCCAAAGATTAAATGGCGCTGTACTACAGCTGTATTACTTCTTGCATGCTTTTTATGGCAGGCTTTCTTTCAGTGTATAGACTAAACAGCACACTCCAAATGACAGGATCTGGTGGATTTCTGGCCTTGAGGGCACCATGTCTGCATGGCTATATGTATTATACACTAATGGTACTAGTATCAGCACTGTGTTTAACCTCCTAATCTTAGATTTAGGTCAAATCTCTGCACGTCGGAGTAGCTTAAAATGTCTAGTTACAAAAACATTTGATAATCTGTTTAGGAGTATGGGTATCTCAACCAGCGCAAGTCCTGTAAAAATCAAGCTCATTACTGTTTCTGTAAGACCATTCAAGTGCAACTATTTGCAGGCACCATAAAAAAAATTTGTATATGCATATGGGAGGAACCCGAAGAGTATGAAATGCTTCTGAAATGAACATGGTTCTTATGTACACTGAAGTGGTCTGTGTCTTTGAATGCAAACCTGAGCATACATACACTGTGTGTACATTAGAGTCTTACTAAATTTAAATAATTGAAAACTTGTTTAAATTGTTGCAAAAACATTGCTTTGAATACATTTCTTAACACAAATTCATTCTGTTTATGAGCTTTGTATGCTATTGTTTATTTTCCACTATTTTTGATTGATCTGCGATAAGTAAGAATCTGTTTTCCACTCTTTGTTGAGAACAATAAAGTTGGTTGTAAGTTTTGTAGGGTTCAGCACCCTCGATTTAAGCTGAAGTCGGGAATTGGTGGTGGTTCAGGTGGCTCTCTGAAGAGTCTTCTAAAACCCTACGTCCAATTGCTTATTGGTTACAGTCAGACTGAACCATAACATCTGAATCATTAGAATCCAAGCACAGCAAACCAATATTCTGTTAGGCTTGCATATGTGTGTTATTTTTTACTGTGTCTGCTTCATAACCTGTTGAGTCAGGACTGTTGCTTAACATGTAAGTTTTATTTTCTTTCATTGGTCTTTGTGCAAAGAGGCAAAAGCCCTGGATAACAGTTGAAGAGGGTGATTAAAAGTTAATGATAAAATATGCCTGATTTAGTGATGGTGAAAACCTTAATCCTTTCATGCTACAGTAGAAAGGTAAACTTAATTTTTTTTATTATTATTTTTACTTTGTATCCATCTTCTTCCTTCATTTAATACCAAAAATGATTCATCAGTAGAGTAAAGAAATGTTTTAGATGAGAAGATCCTGTCTTTTATTGTGCTTCTGTTCTGAAATGTAAACCTTTCTTAATTTTGTTCTTCTGGCTCTCCTTCCTAGCTCTGTTTTGTGATGTTTTGGACACCAAACGTGTCAGAGAAGATTTTAGTTGACATAATCGGAGTAGACTTCGCTTTTGCAGAGCTGTGCGTCGTTCCTTTGCGCATCTTCTCCTTCTTTCCAGTTCCAGGTAAAAACAAGAAAACAAAAACTCTGTAACCTCCAAGCAAATGCAACTTTGAGGTGTGGTTATAGGGTCTGACTCGGCTGTACCTGTAAGAGTGGCTAAGTGCATACCCAGCATACATAATAAGAACTATTTTCATCAAAGTCGGTATAGACCAAGACTATTTCCATCAGTAGTCAGGCTACAAAGATTGCAGTAAGAGCAGTCTGTCTTAGGCAGACTTTTGACTGACCAAAGTAAAACCTGAATTCTGCCTATTGGGGTTGACCAAGAACACACACATCAACAGCACGGTGCTATAGCACATACGAGCACCCGTGGTTCCGCTACTGAGGCTGTAACTTCAATATGGCATCAAGGACTAACTGCACAAGAGCATTGCCTCCAGCAGTCTCCCCTTCAGCTGCCAGTCTGAGTGACACTTCCAGATATCATCACAGCATAAACAGAATAAAAGTAAATGCCCCTATTCAGGAGAGAGACGAGCTTGGCAGCAGTGTTCAAAATGTATCCCCTCAAAAAATTTCTAACTGTTGTAAACAAATGCTACTTGATGTAGTGTAGCATAGATCAAAATGGACTGCCTAATAAATTGTTTCTAAGTGAATGGCTCCCATGAAGGGTTGCTGTCTATAACTGGCTTTTTTCAAAAATCAGTAAGTTTAAGCAGCTTGGGTATGAAATCTTCTTTATTTCTAGTAGGGTTTCCCAGTGTGCAGAGTTACCAGAAACAAGTTTAGTTTCACGACGTGTATTTCTGAACAGTACTCTCTGTACGAAAAAACTCTTGTGTCCCTTTTTCCCCTTCCTCTGTTCATGAACAGTGACAGTCAGAGCACACTTGACTGGTTGGCTGATGACTCTAAAGAAGACGTTTGTGCTGGCACCCAGCTCAGTGCTGCGGATCATCGTCCTCATCACTAGTCTCATTGTTCTGCCTTACTTGGGGTAAATCTCTCCCCTCTCCGTAGAGATGATGGAATTGCTCTTCTCTTCGTTCCTGTTTCCTATCACTTTGTAGCTGAATTTGTCCAACTCAGAGCATTTTCCCCAAATACTAAGTATAATATAAAGCCTAAACAGTGGCAATATCTGGAAAAGAAACATCTACAAATTTACAAATGATACTTCGCTGTAGGCAGTCAAGATATCGATGCCCCTTCTGAAAAAATGCACAAATGTCAGTGAGGCAAAAATCTGTCCTATGAGAATTTATTTCCATTCTCTTAAATGCACTGTTAAGAAATCTAATGGAAGAATATCTTGTTTATAATGTTAAAGGATCCATTCTGTAGCATTCTGTGCACTCTGTACACAGACTTTAAATTCTGTGTTCAGCTTTTCTTACTCCAAAATTTGATTCAGGATATGTTTCTTTTACTAAATAGTGAAGCACGTTAAGAAACAAAATAAGTCCTTTAAAATACTTGTCACTCTCTTTGCCAGTACATTATGTCTTTGAAGGGAATACTTCTAACAACAGATTAATTCCATATACCACTGGAAATACAATTTTGAATCAGGTGTTGTCACACAATCATGACTAATTTTTATTTTTTTTTTTTGTGCTACCGACAGAGTTCATGGAGCCACTCTTGGAGTAGGATCCCTTCTAGCAGGTTTTGTGGGAGAATCCACCATGGTTGCAATAGCAGCCTGTTATGTCTATCGGAAACAGGTAAGAAGTAGGCTCTGCAGGATCTGGTGAAAGCAGTTGATGGTGGACTTTATTTCAGACTAAAAGTACATTTTCAAAATGTAACTCCCCAGCATCCCCACTTTTTTACTGACCACCCTGCACAAGGTGCATAAGAAAATAGAAGACCTTGATCTCTGTCATGATTAGTCTGTTACATTTTTCTTGAGCACCAAAGAGCCTGAACACTTTGAAAAAGCTATTCTTGGCCTGTGGTTTCACACCATATATTTGTTCAGACTGACCTTCTGATTGTTTGTTACAGCGGTAGCTCAAAGAGTGTTTCTGGCAAGGGACATTGTGCTTAATTTTTTGCAGGCAGTACTAGTAATTGCTCTGCCAACCTAATTTATTTCCTTACTGGAATTAGTATGTAACTGACACCATCATCTCAACAGCCAATGTGACAGTGGCAAAGCCAATTAGTAGCTGTACGGCTCAACTTGTTTTCACCTAAAGTGGCAATAAATGGGCAGCATTTGAGAGCTGTAAACCAAGTGTTGTGTAGACACCTCTGAAACTTTGTAATTCTGATATGCGCAACTCTGCTGAATCAGTAATACCTGTGGGGTTTATTTTGTCAGTTTTACAAGTGTTTTCTGTAAGACTAGTCAGCCTGCTGAAGAATGTATAATAAGGAACAGATGCTTCAATTTGTTTTGTAGCGGGACTAAATACCTCTTAGCTTTACTAATCCAGGACATCCTGGATGAATCATAGGACTCTTGAATGCCCTCCCATTCCTGCTATCCAAAAATATTCTAATATTACTAGGCTTTGGTGAGGTGGGGGCTCACAGTGGATCCAGCAGTAGCAAGAAAGGCCAGAATGCTCACATCTTGAAAAATTCCTGAAGTTTCACATTTGAAAAATTAAGATGCCACCTCTCTCTTTCCCCCTAAAGCAACTTATCTTCTCTGATATTTTGTTTGCTTTTCTTTTTTTATAATAAAAAGTCTGTGATGTAAAAGATTCCAGATGCTTTCTTCCCTCCAGTCACACTGAAGCCTGTCTTGGATGTCACTTAGCATAAGAAGTGCCTCCATCATTGCATTCATGTTAGAAAAGAGAAAGCTGAGCCCCAGAAAGGTTATGGAAACCTTCTAAGTTAAGACAACTTGTTAGTGACAAACCAGGAACATGACACAAGTGTTCTAGCTGTTTGTAGTCTACTCTAAAAAATACATGACTCCTATCTTGCTTCTCCTGGTGCCCAAAGTTTGTAAGCCTGTGTTCACAAACAGCATATTTGTATGTTTATGCATGGTTGTTTCAATCTAGAAAAAGAAGCGGAATGAGAATGAAACAGCTGCAGAAGGCGAAGACTCTGCTATGACCGACATGCCTCACACGGAGGAAATGACAGACATCGTAGAAATGAGAGAAGAGAATGAATAATAAAGGGGATGCAATTGTTCTCTACAGGGACGATTGGAGTGATACTTCAGCATCTTGTCGTCTCTCATACTTTTTTGTTTGTTTGTTTTTATTTTTGTAATAAAGAGGCCTTGATTTAAAAGGTTTCAGATAAATTCTCTAGCATACTGAGTATGCTCACACTGATGAGGGACCTAAAAAGAGGTCTTTGCTTTTTCTTTTTCAATTGAATTTGTTTTCTCACTCCATGCAGACATAAAAGATACAATTGCATCGCTGTAGAGTCTTCCTTACTTATGCATCCACCTTCTCTGGACAATCTGCATTTGTCAACCAAAGCCCTGCTGTGTGTGTATGCGTGCGCGTGTGTGCACGCACACGAGTGCCACTGGCTCAGTGCTACTGCCATAATCCTACTCCCTCCCCTTTCTTTTTCCTTCCTTTTCTTCATGAGAAATGTTAAGGAAAAGAAGTTTGGAATACAGAGCTTTATTTTACTTGCTTGAAAATGACTTTGCTACATAAACTAATATACTATGGTGAACTATATCTTTTGTTTGGCCTCGTCACTAGAGCTTATACTGCACAGGGTACAACACAGGGAGGAACGTGTAAGTCTCCGCATGGAAAGTGGAGAAAAACAGGCTCCTCTCTCCTGTTAAAAGTGTGTGATTGTGTATATACACACACAGATACATAAACAGAGACATACATATATATATTTATATATATATGCATACAATAAATAAAATACACACAGGACAAGAACTCTATTTACCTTTCATTCCGTCTGAAAGATAGAAATCTGTTGAAAAATGTAAATTTATAATTCAGAGTCTTCTTGAATAGTTAAGCACCGTGTTATATAGGTCTCTTTAGGGAAAAAAAAAACATGCACTTTCCTCTTGTGAAGAGGGTAATAGCAAATGATAGAATTTGACTGTATTTAAATAAAAAAAAATAATAAAAATTGACAAGCTTTACCAAAGTTCTTGTCCACTGATTTAACTTTAATTTTTAAAGGATGATTTACTCTAGACTTATTTCTGGTGCCTATATATTTAAAAACAAACAACAGATAACTTCTGCAGGATACCATGGTATATTGCGTTACTACACTTAGTTCCATGAAGGTCTTTATTTGGTGATGTACACATGCTCACACGTACATGTATATATATATAAGTATATATATACACACACACTTCTGTGTATGTTTTGCTATGATGTATTTACCTATGCAGTAGATCAAAATCAGTATGGCGAAGCTCAAGTACTGATGATCCTCCAAGTCCTTAATTAGGGACCATGATCGCTTGTTAGCTCTCAATACAGCAGTGTCATGGAAGCAGAAAGCTGCTCAAACCAGCAAGCACTGCACTTTGCAAACAAGGCAGGCACTGTGCGGTTTAATTGGGCCTTAAATAGGAGAGCATGAGGTTGGATGGTCAATCTGTGTCAGGTGGAAGTGAAGCCTGTGTAAGAGGTCACTGAACCAGAGATGGTTTGGGTGCCACCAGTGGTGGCTGCAGGAGCAGTTTGTACTCCTCTGCTGGTTTGTGTCTGGCTGCGGGGCAGCATTCCTGTTACCAGTTTGTAGTAGCTTGGGTTCTTTCAGCTGTAACCATGCCTGAGTTTGGATACCGTTATCCTACATACTATATCTGCAAGTCAGTTAATTTAAACTTTATTAAGTAAAAATATATTTTTCTAAGTTGTGGGAATGATTATTTAATTGTGGACAACTTCAGTTTCTGGATTATTTGCCAGGTACTCCCAGCACTCAGAGAACTGATCGGAACTAGGCATTACTTTCAATGTTGTATCAATATATGTGTATATATACATACACATGTGTATAAATATATATATTGTATATTATGTATATTTATTTTAAGCTAGAATACATTTCCTATTTTTCCAAGTTCAGCTAAAAACGTCTCTAAAACACTACAGAGTTGGATAGTAACCAGGTATGGCTATAATGAAAGGCATTGTATCAATGAGCTTTATTTTAAACATTTGTACCGATTTTTTACATGCACAAATGACTTAGAAGTGATGACATTGAATGGCAGACTTGAAAAATCAGTTTGTGGTTAATTAGCAGTGGCACTAAGAGGCAAGACTAAACCTAGTAGCCTCACATCTTCTGTGCCACCACAAGGTTGTTCTCATTGTTTCTCACAGTAGATTAAACAAACCAACCAACCAAAAAAAATAATAAAAAAGGCAAAAAAAACCCTCAGACAAATGAACTTTTGCAGTATGCAGACTGTACACACAAACATTCATGAATACAGACTCTCAAACAGTCATGTGTATATAACATGTATGTAGACTCTTACAGATCACGGTGGCCATTTAATGTCTTCTCTATTCATATTGTTTTGATTCCTCCAGCACATTTGTATCCAAATCCACAACACACAGATTTTCAGGAAGTACAGAGATGAAGCAAGAAACTATATTTGTGTAATATTTCTTTTGATAGGTTACTGAAATTTAAACAGCAGTATTTTTGAAGAATTCCAAGCATTACGGTTTCATTACCATAGGTTTCAAGGTAATTATTGTACCCAAAAGTAAGAATTTGAAAACAAATTAGGTGAAACACTGAAACTTGTTTTAGATAGAAAACTGAACATCAAAAAGTAAATTTTTCGTCATAGAGTACTGAACTAATGGAATAGTAAAATTCAATTTTTCAATTTTATGGGTAATATTTAATATTCCTGTATTTTGCAAAATAACAAATGAGTACAGGAGTGGTAGGATTTGGGCAGGTATTCAGGCAGCTACATGAGGATGCTTGTATAACATTTACTTCTGCTTCCTGTGTGTTGTGTATTTCTTTACATTGCTCTTTTGGGTTTGCCAAATAGGCTGATGTTTCGGCAACGAGCAGCTCCATGTGGGAACTCAGTGCCCGAGCGATGCTCACTCCGCTGCAGGTGGCAGCCTCAGCCTGAAGGCGCGTTCACACGCAACTCCGTGCACCCCAGCATCAGCTGGTGCTCCCTGTGGGTAACATCTTCAAGGGCTTTGGTGACCTCTCCAGGGGTGGGTTCAGCTGGCTGGCAGGCTGGGAGCTCTGGGGGGCCAATGCAGGGCACGTGCCGCCTCGCCTGGCTCAGCTGAACCCACCACCCAGTGTGCTGGAGCCTTGCCCATGCGAGTGTCACCGCCAGGCTGTGAACATGCTGTCCCCTTCCTGCCCAAAGGGATGTCCTCAATTACTGTAAAATGGCTTAGCTGGCTCCTCTGCGGGACTGCTCCTAAAATTGCTGTGTGATGGATGATGAAATTACAGACACCTGATAAGTTCCTGCTGCGGAGAGCCAGAGCGTGGTCACCTCAGTGAGTTCATGTGGCGGCTTAGCCTATCCAGACTTTATTGAGAATTTCTGAACTATAGAAACAAAGTGACGATAAAAAGAGGAACAAAGTTGATTTGCATCCCACATTTTAAATTTTAGACTGTGGGAGAACATGCCACACAGCAGGAAGTAAAAGGGGCACTGATAAGTTGTGGGTTGATGTTCCTAAACCCTTAATGCACACCTAAAATTGTGTTAACTTGTCCGAGCTTTCCTTTTGCAGACTTAGCTGTTGAGAAAGCTATTTTCTTTTATCCTCCCCTCTCACACTTACCAAGCGATGGACTTGAAACAGGCTCTGCATGTCCTGGGCACTGCTTGAGGCCGCGCGGGCACATCAGCTGCTCCCAGGCCTCCCCGTCCCTCTTGCACGGCCGCCCGGGGTGTGAGCGCTAAGTTGCCTGCTCCTTAGCTAGAGCTACACTGGGCGAGAGGATTGGGTGAGTAACAGAAGTCTTTTGTTTCCTACTCATTTTTGCTGCTAAATATTTCCCTTGACCGGGAGAGATTTATACCTGGCTCTTGCTCGGTTTTTGCCGAATCGCGGCAGACAGACAGACAGCAGCTGGAGACAGAGGGTGAGCTGCTGAATGCAGCGCATTCAGGACAGGCCATGGCGCACAGACAGGAGTCTTTTGAAGGGGAGAGCTCCTTTTTTTGTGGGCTGGCGCCTTGTGCTTAAAAAGAAGGGTGAAAGGACGCTTTCAGGCCGAGGCGCTTGGAGCGGGCACGGCCGTGCGCTGGGCTGCGAGGTGCGATTCTGCGGGGTGTCAGGGGGCGTCCTGCACCCCACTGCCCACAAACGGGTCCTCGGCAAAATGCAGGGCAGGGTGGGGACTGGAAAGGCAGCATCATTGACTCCGTCTCCCACTGGGGTTGTGTGGATGTGGTGCAGTTGGCAGGGATTTGAGTGCAGCTGGGTGTTACCTGAGCATAGTTTCAGTAGCCATTAGTGTCTTAGAAAGCCATGCATATATATATGTATATATATCTTACATATATAAGCGTATGTATATGTGTGTGTGTGTGTGTATGAGAGTTTTATGCACATATTTTTATTACTGGCTGTATATAGTTTGTTGGAACAAAGATTCAAGCATAAACATCTTAATGAGGGACTAATACTAGGCTGTGTGAAAAATTGCAGTTTCAAGCTACATGAAAGAGTAATTTCAACAACCTTTCAACGGGCACAATAAGATAAACCAGGATTTCAGTCAGTAAGCTAAAATGGGAAAGAAGGGGAAAACTTGGAAAAGCTTATGGATGTGGCATATCCAGCCTAAAGCCAACAGCGTGGTGTGGAGCACGATTAATCAGCAGAAAGCAGCAGAGCAGTGACTACTGACATATAACTGCTCTAGAGAGGAACCGAAGGGTGAGAAGTAACATGTAAATAAGACACAGCTTTTAAGTATTTTGGTTTCTGAGAGTGGAGGAGTCCTCAGTGGAGTATGAAAACGTCTTTGAAGATTATTCCAGCAGAAATAAACCAATATGCAGGTTTTATGACATGCAAAGAGGAGGCTTTACACTTCTTACTGGATCTGAGTAACTGGCAGGAACTGGGCAACTGGGCAGATGTCACCCAAACATTGGTTAAACAAAGAGGAAATCATCACAGTTTTGGTATTCGGTATTTCCCAAATTCCAGCCTAACTATGTGCATGTGCAGAATGTGGTATTTGCAAGCCAGGGCAAGGTCCCCCAAGCAGCACCGGGGCAGGCAGGCAGTTTTCGGCCTCCTGCTGGGTGCTCGCAGGAGGGCGGCCTCCACGCTTGCTCTGCAAATGTGCAGCAGCACACTTTGTGGGACTGCCTGCTGCTGCAGCCTCATGATACGAGGCACATACGTTAGTTAGCTCAGGAACAAGCTCAGGCCAAGCGTGGGCTTGACCTACAAGAGTGTGACAGAGCAGAGAGAGGATGCGGGCTGCCTAGGGAGCTGGGGCTCGGGTAATCTGGGGGCAGTTTGTGTGGGTTTACTTCAGAGATGCAAGTTCACGTTTCAGTGCGCGGATACACTCGTCAGCAAAACAATTGCCAGAGTTCTCGATGATTTGCACATTCTGAACAAAAAGGCCAAAGACAAAATACAGGGGCAGAGAGCTGAGCTTTAACCTCAGCTGGGATCACGTACGCAAGCAGAAGGGCATGTTTTCTGCTGCTTGTGCAAGTTAACTCTATGGTTAAAGAGGGATCTTACATCTCAATATGCCATAACCAAGGTGTGCAGCTCAGTCAGTAGAACAAAAAGACTGGTGTATTTTTAGGTGCTTTTTTGTCTTTGCAACCGTGAGAGGAAAATTTTCCTTGGCATTACCAAACCTTGTCACTGCTCATACCAACTTGTTAGTTTTAGCTCATCATTTTTTTCTCTCATTCCTAGTTCAGCATCTTTGGACTTTTCCTTTATTTCCTTCTGAAGGCTCCTGCTAGGTTTATTTTGTCTATTGGCGTTTTGAGAAGAAAATTGTAATCTTCATGCTGAATGTCAAGTAATGCAGTGATTAAAAAGTAGCTTAAAACAAAACTTTGTTGATGAACTGTTTTTATTTTTCATTTGCTAAGCTGAAAAGGAGAGTCAAGAAACAGAAGGAATCGGGGGGTGGTTTTTATTTAAAATCAAGAATTAACAGAATTAATTCAAGCTCACTACTTAACTTGGGCCACTTTTCATCTTTCTAATGATTTCATAGCACCAGAATCCCAACTCTTACAGCAAAACTAGCACTGCAGCCTGCGATAGTTTGAAGCAATGACAAGTGTAAGACTTAATGTATTTCAAACCTAAAAATATAGCCTGATGCGTTGGAGAGACCAATTAACAGAGACGCTCTATTAAGCTTAAAATTCAGCTGGACTTGAGCAACAGGTTGATGTCTAAAATGACCCTGCCTTGGGGTTAGATAGAAACTAGTAAGGTCCCTTCATCTTAAGGGACTTGAGACTTTTCTTGTTTATTTTAGGGTTTCGGTTCAGGGCTGAGAAACTGTGCCCACCAGGGCTCTACAATGCAGATAGCTAAGCCAAAATCTGAGCTTCACAGATTCTTCTGCAGATGACAAAACCTTCGTATTGTAGAGCCAGCGTTAAAGTACCCTCCTACCCTGTGGGAGCCCACAGTGAGGGCAGAGCAAAAATAAGCTATTGTATATGCAGACAAAATATTTGAGTACTGCACTGCACTTTTACAATTAACTCTCTAAATACAAAAGCCTGAAACCAGCAAGCAGCTGCATACATCACGTTTCCTCCTATCCCTCTTTTCATGTGCATCATTCAGCACAATAAAAAAAGCTATCCCTTCTAATAACTCCCCTTTGCAATCAAGGTAATGCAGAGTAAATACATAAATTTATGTAATAAAACAGCTTGGCCTATCTACAAATGAGAGCACATAAATCCCCTTTGAAGAAAGGATGTATTTTAAAATTGAAGCAACAGCTTTATTCATAATTCAGCAAGAACACAGGAGAAAAACAAAACAAAAATTGAAAAAAAAAAAAAAAAAAGCATTAGCTTTTAAAGAGTATACTGCCTGGGTGGAAAGCAGAGTATGTGTATGCATACAGAAAACAGAGCATGAACTTTTTAGTTTGCTCTCCAAGACAGCACTAATGTAACTCTGCTTTTATGCCCTATTACAATAAATGAAAAGTCCTTTGTAAGTTGTAATGAAACAATTAGTATGCTAGAGGCAATAAATTTGCTGATTACTTAGATTAGCTGATTTTATTCACAAATCTTGCAAATGCCTCAAAATCGCAAAAGCTCCAAAAAGCTGAAGGTGCATATGCATTTTTGTAGGTGACATGAACAAGCTTTTCTAAATATACCTAATCACTATT